ATGGTTGGGAAGACGCCAGGAACACAGATAAGCAAAGACAACACAGGATAAAGTCACTATTGCTTCCAGCAGCCTGCCGCACGCAGCCGCCTTTCTTATCAACTGTCTTCCTAGCTGTGGCTAATGAAGGGAATCAGGGCCCTTTCCTCCCCCATAAGCCAGGCAACCCACGTTGCTCTCTTCTCAGTTCCTCACTGCGTGCCTTAGAATGAAGAGGAGGTGGGCCTGAGTCTTCCTCTGAACTCCCTCTCCCTTGTTCTATCTCTCCCCTGCTCTGCCGAGCCGGACTTTGCCCTTCCACAGCCTCGTCCCCAGCCAATGGAGCCACACTCCTACTCCCTGTCAGCTGTCTGGCTTCCTCCTCAGATTCAGACTCTGACAGGGGCATGACAACAAGTATTTTCACAATTTCTGCCATCCTGACATGTCATCCCCATCTGCTAAGCATCTAGAAGGCAAAGGAAGAAACAACAGCTTGAGTACAACAACAAAACAAAACAGAATTGTAACCTACTTTGACGAAGATGTATGGTCCAGCAAACCCTGAGCTGCAAAGAGAGTTTAAGATACATTAGATGGGCTGCTTATATGTGGAAGTCTTACTAGTTACAGTAAATGCTAATTAATGAATAAGCAGAGCTAGTCATTAGAAGTGACGGATATCGCTGTCCAAATAATAATTTATTCCATTTATTGCCATGCCCAGGATTTGTGTTAATTTCACTTCGCTGTTCTGCTTCAGGGGACTTGAGAATAGCTTGAATCTGCTTTAATCTGAGCAATGTCCTTGCAGCGTGTCACTTGACAGTTCTCCATAGAGAAATTGAACATGGGAATCAGCAGTAATAATGATTTCCAAGAAAATGTACAGTAATAAACATGTTCACTACTTAATCTATTTCACAGGCCAGGCACGTCCTCTTCTATGTAATGCATTCGCTGGCCCTAATATAGACATTATTGTCTCTTAGGTCTTCTGACCATTATCTGATCTCCATAAAGAAGAGTGCTGTGATCCAGGCTAACACATCCTTAGGTAATTTTCTTAATACTTTAACTGGACTCAGAGCATGTCAGCACATACAGCCAACCATTTCCTTTATTTCTTGGAGCAAAACAATTTTTAAAAAAGCATTCAAAATTTGGTCAGAGTAGTCTACGAAGGCCAAACTTGTTGTGGTTCGCCAGCAGCCTGTGCAGATGGCAGCGGAATCGGACAGCGGGGAAGAACGAGGGCCAGTCAGGGAGTCTGGAGAGGACTTGGATGAGGGTCCTGCATCCGATGCAGAGATGGGGCCAGGACCACCTGGGAGTGGGGTGCTGCCTCTGGAGCCTTCGCAGTCTGGCAGCAGCGAGGCAGAGGACCCAGGGGAGCCTGTTCCCAGTGCGCGTGTGCATAGAGCTGCTAGAAGGCGAGAGCAGCTGAAACAAAAGGGATGACTCGGGAGTAAGGCTCGGAGGTAATTGCCCCTCCCCAAAGGCATAAAGAAGTGCAAAGGTAAAAAAACCCTTGCAGGAAGCAAAGTCGTTCTCTCTGTTCTGATTAAACCTTGAAGCTCTGTGTGGATTTTGTAATTCAGTTGTTTTTTTACGGTTAATTTGGCACTTTGGTTGTTGGCAGCAATTCAAAGAAGATAAAGGTGGGTGCTTATCTCGAGGGACTGTTTGGGACTCATTACGCGCAGGGAATGAGCATAATTCCCAGCGCTGAAATAAATCAAGAGTTGTTTTAACTAACCATGTGCTTAATTACGGTCTCAAGAAGCCTTGGTCAGAACAAAACTTACATGTGCTGGAGTGAAGCTGGTTATTCAGATTTCTTTCAAATTCAGAGACACGGACCTTTTTCGATCTCGTTGTATGCCGTGCAATCCTATGCTTCTGACTCGGAATGGAGTCGGACAGGCTGACTTCTAGACTGCTAAACAAGACAGGTCTTGAGAGCTAGCAGAATACTGTTCTTGAAGGACAAGTCTTCATAGTGCTTAAACCAAAACCTAAGCAATTGTAGGTAGACTCCAAGTACATATACTGTACATCAATAAAGCCATTCCATTTTTAATCAATGCTGAATACCCAATGCTGTCAACCCTGACAGTGACCTGACCGGAGCCATCTTGGAGCTTCAGTGTTGCCACACTGGAGCTGAGGGAGAGGGAGAGGGGATTAGAGATAGCTGGGCTTGTGTAGCCAAAATAAAATACTTTCTCTTGGAACCAAGGATGTTCTCACACCTGGACCATGGAAGGAGGAGTGACGTCACCAGACAACTAGACTGTGTCTTGATTGGACTGTGTGACTGATTGTTTGGGGTTGTGGGAAAACTTTCTCTTTTGATTAGGTGAAAACCGCGGGAACCTTCAGAGTCGGTATTCACCGGCTCTGTGCCAATATATTTCCAATAAAGCTATTTGAGGAATTCACCTGCCTCAGTTTTTTGCTCGATATGGGATTATTACTTGGAACCCTGACACAGACATAGCTACGGCAATGCTCCCTTTTGTTAGGAAATATGGAAAATTGATTATTCAGTGAGGACTAAAATGAGCAGTTATTATTCGGAATGGCACATAACTGCCAATAAGTGAGTCCACATACTGCATAAAGGTGTGATTTGATTTTAACTTTGTGAATTTGTGTGAACATGCTTGCGTGAACATGTTCACAGAGGCATCTTAGTGCGGGGTTCAGCAATCTTTTCATGCAGTGGATGCCAAATACATACGAACAAAAATCTAATGGGAGTTTAGCAATATAAGTGCTCAGAACTCACAAATGTAGACCGTTAAAAGTAGCACAATATTTATACAATTTAATCAATACAATTAATTTAATAATACAATTAAGAAATTATTAATTCCTTGCTTGAATGCACTTCAGTATCAACAATTTCTTGACTGATCCCAAGAGAAACAGATATAATTTTATTTAAGGCTTGGTTTGGGGCTTCAAAATATCTGCTTTTAAGGTCCATGCCCATTGCAGAGAAACAAAGATTTCACTGTTTTCGTGATTTTAAATGTATGACTCAGAACATTCGAAACAGCTGAAAATTTGTAGCTTTTATTGTAATAACTTCAAAACACAAAGGAACCACTTACCTGGAAGAACCAAGCTTCACAGGAAAATGGAAAATTGTATCAACTGGTTTTGGAGAATCAGGTTTCTCAGAAACAAGAGGAGAAACAATTGGCTCTGTCAAAAAAACAAACAGTTTTCAGCAACAGCTGAATTCAAAAGTGCTTCAAAACCATAGCTATGTCACTGCCCTAAAAACAAAGAAGTTCACTATAGTTCCTTTTTTCACTTTCTGAAGAACATTTCATTTTTAAATCTTCAAGTTGCAAACTGTTCTATCTACTTGAGCATACTGGTTTCAGAAATGCACTGAACTTAAGTGATGGAAGGATAGTATCCTAGACTGTATATGCAGATTCTCAAGTCATCCAGGTCAGGGTTATCTCAAAGGTGCTTTTTCAAAAGGCAACTGGACTTTCTTTTTCCTTGATCACATTTTGCTTCTCATCTAAGAAATGGAGTCAGTACTGAAAAAGTTTCTTGGAAGAGGAGTGAAACGACTGCAAGAAAAAAGAAGAAAGCCCAGTTGCCTTTTGAAAAAGTACCTTTGGAACAGTATCCTAGATTGTTTCTCTCATTTGGTACAACACAAAGGTACAACTGACCTTGGGTTGGGAAGAATTTACTAGCCATCCTTCGGATGTGGAAGATATTGTAACTAATAAATTCTGTGCAAATCAAGATGAACATTCAAAATGCAAGATTGCCCTTTCACATTTTTAAACTGTTACTGAAGTTTTTAGTTTTTTGCTATGTTTGTTGTTATGTTTCTGGGTCTTTGTTGTTGATGTGAGTAGCCTGTAATTAGCAATGACTGTTTTATCTGTGATTCTGTAATTCTCCAATTCAGCATGACCTGAAATGTTGCTCTCCCACAACCATACTTACGTGTCTGCAGGACTTTCTTAAAAACAGTTCGAGGTGTCACAACATCCAACTGTGCAGAGTTGGCAGGTGCCTGATAAGCTAAAGATCTTTGATAATTGAAGGGTGCAGTCTGAAATAAAAACAGCCCCAAAAGGCAATTGCAATTGTAAAAGACAAGTGACAATACTGCCCTCTAGTAATTGAATACCAGAATTCATAAATACAATTAAGCAAGGACATCAAGTCTTATTCTGCTTATTTACATCAAATTAGGCTGAATAAGACTATAATGGCTGCACATTATTATTTTAGCACATTATTTTAGTACACTATGAAAGTGATTTTCCCTAAAGGAAACCTTTGGAGTTCTCTCTGAAGCAATTATGCCTAGGGCTATTGTTCCTTGACAATGTCTTTCAAGAAAGTACAAGGGGAAAAAATCACTGGAGTAAGGTGGGGAAAACAGTTCTCAGTCTTTACTCTGAAAACATCCAAGGAAACTGTTGCTCATAAATAGGAAAACCTCAGATAGGGAGGTTTATTCCCGCATTTCAGAATTGAGTGGGAGAAGGCTCACCTTGGCAACTTGAATACTTCAACTCCCAGAGTTCCTCAGCCAGGAAAGCTGGTTGAGCTGGCTGAGGAACTCTGGGAGTTGAACTCCACACGTCTGCAAATTGCCAAGACCTCTGCTATAAAGGACAATCCTTTATTTCAAAAACCTATCATAAGATTTATTTTTATTTTTTTGCTTTTGCTCCTGAACGTTCTTTTGTAAAGCAAAGTTGTAAACATAAACAACTAGGGGTGTTTTTCCCCCAAATCCTTATAAGTTGTCCCCCCCCCCCCCCAATTTGCTCCCTTTTTTCAGGCTGGACCTTCGTTTTTTCCAAGAAAAGACAGTCAGGGCAGAATATAATCCTTCTGGAGGATCCGGGTCTCGCAAGCAGGACCACATTGGCAACCCAGGTGGGAAAGGGAGGAGGGCTGGGGAGGATGGGAATTGGAGTCCTACACACACGCGCACACAGAAAGGAGGTTGCTTAGGCGAGAAAGCATCGCTTCCATGCTGAAAGGAGGGAATGCCGCCGCCCAAGCCGCCTACTCCCCGCACCTTTTCCTTTGCCAACCGCAATGACTTCCTGCGCCTTTGCGGTTCCTCCTCCGGCTGCTGTCTTCGCAGGCTCCTCCGGCTGGCCATGGTTCGCCCGCCGCCCACCGAGACCGTTACGAGGAAGCAACGACGAGCTCTCGGGCGTTCTGCGAAGTTCTCTGCCGCGTCGGGATTCAAGCAGACACCGCCGCTGAGCGACTCTCGCGAGAACGCTCCCTGCCTCGCATTGGCCGGTGGGAGATGGAGTTCCTTGCCCGGCAACGTTGGACGTGGGATTGTTCTCCCACATCTGGGATAAGCGGACAAGGGGCTTTTGAAGACCTCGGGGAAAGAAAAAAAAAGAAAGCTGGCTTGCATCATTTTTTTTTAATAAGAGGGAAATTTAGCATCCAATCATCCTGCAGTGACTTCCTCTTCTGTGCACTCTTGAAAAAGTTCGGCGTTCCAGTTGTCTTTTACAGCTGCCAGCTGCATCCTTGTCCAGCATGACAAATAATTTTGTACACTCCAACAGTGAATAACCTCTCCTATCGGTTCCAAACATAGCTATGCTAGCTAGGGAATTCCAGTCCAACCTATTTTGAAGGCAGCATATTTGAGGAAAGCTACTTGGGAGGTTAGATTCACATAATAATATGCTAAAACTCAAAACAAACTAAATAGTGGCTTAATATGTCACTTTGGAATCTGGACGGCTTGGTAATGGACCAGAAACTTTAGAGATCTGGGGGCTTATTGTTTATTAAGTCGGGTTCTGATTATTTAGCCCAACATTAATAGTTTAATGTTAATTAACATTAATTAATTAAGGTTAATTAACATTAATTAACATTAATTAACTAATTAATTAACTAATTAACATTAATTAATTAATTAAGGTTAATTAACATTAATTAATTAAGGTTAATTAACATTAATTAATTAACCTTAGACTGTCTACTATTGACCTCACCCCTTTCCTAAGAGGTCTGTAGGGGGCGTGCATAAGCGCACCAACGTGCCTACCGTCCCTGTCCTATTGTTTCTCTTATTCTTTTATTTTTCTTATATGTACCCATTTCATGTATTCACAACTATGTATACATTTATACTTATTATCTTGTAAACAATTGGCAAATCAAATAAATAAATAAATAAATAAAATAAATAAAATAGAAACCCTATCAAAGGCAACAGCAATCATTCTACATTATTTAAGTCAACAGTGTGCAATCTAAGATGTGACAGAACTTGAAGACAAACATTCTCTGCTGGAACTTTCCTTTGGAAAACTTTCCCATCAAATACAGGATCTATACTCTTGATTTTAAATTTTAAAAAAACTTTAAAACAGGACTGATTTGAAATGGCTGGCAATTGATAGAGGAATGAGCAAAGTAATTAAATACTTAGTGAATTATCTTGCTGAGTGAAGATATTTAGTGATATTATGCTTGTAAATACAGTCTGATTGTTTTTTTGTTTATGGTTGTGTATTCATATAATATTAAATATATAATATTTATATATTGCTGATTTTGCACTAAACCTGGTTAATGCCTGAGTTAAAACCTAGTTAATTAAATGCTTACTATATAGAAATATTCAACACTGGGGAGAAAGCCAATGCGTAATAACTGGAGAATTTTATGTCAATTGTACATAATCATTATTTAAGATCATTAAGTAGTAATGGAAGTGGTTTTTAGAGGGCATTAAAGCTAGCTAGAGAGCCAGTGTGATGAAGTGATTAAGCACCAGGCTCTGCTTTAGTTGGGTGACCTTGGGCCAATTACTATCTCTCAGCCCTAGGAAACAAGCAATGGCAAGCCACTTCCAAAATTTTGTCAAAAAAGCTGCATAAACCTGTCTAGGCAATCACCAGAAATCAACATTGACTCAAAGACACATACACAAAACTCACTAGGATTCTATAGACATTGAATAGTAATGATATTCAGAAGATCTGGTGAAGTTATTAAACTAAATATTATAAAAAGCAGTAAAAGCAAATTAATGTATTTCTTGGAAAAGCTGTCTTCTCAATATTAAAAATATTACAAAAGTCTTGCCATGCTATGCCTTCAGTGTGCTCTGAACTGAAGAAGCTTCTTGGATGAGAAGCGAAATGTTTTCAAAGAAAAACCCAAGAGAATCCAATTGCCTTTTGCAAAAGAGTCTCTTTGGGACATCTAATTGGAGAAGAAAGATGTCCATGCTACTTCCTAGTGATGTTGTGATATTTATAAAAGAATTTTGAAAGGTATTTTTTGTTCTCATTTAAGAAGTTTAGAAATCCACAAAAATGAAGCTCAGATACTGTTTCTAAGTGATGTAGCAATATTGAGAGGCCAACGCATGTCAGCAGCAACATTGTCTTAATGTTAAAAGAATTTGCTTGGCACTCATTTGATTCTTCGGAAGTGGGGTGGACTTCAAGTGGGGAGAATCCCACTAAAGACAAGTAACTGGTCCTCAAAGTACCACGGCCAAGGCTTAGAGATGCTGCGGCAGCGCCTAATAGAGTTGCCGTGGCAACGAGGAAAACGAACGCCGCTGTCTGGGAAACCGAGTTCCATGCAGTAAGAGGCAAATGGAGCGTCTATGAAAGCCTTAGAACCCGAGAGCCCGTTGCATTGTGGGAAGCGTAGTTTTTTCCCCTCTGTTTTTGTTTCCACAATTCATAGGCCGTTCGTCGGCAGAGTTCCCGCGCTTTCCTAGACGAGCCTTACTGAGGCATTATTACTGTACGTCCTAAGTGAGGAAAATAAACCACCATTCCGGCACCTCCTCCAAGAGGGGGGAAAAAAACCGAGGAAGAAGAGCGGATGAAAATAATAACAGACAGACAGACTTGAGAACGGCAGCTTTATTAAAAGACACAATGAAAGCCGAGGGATTGTGGGAAGGCGGCATCTCATGATGGCGCCTGGGACGCGTAGTTCCATCTTCCCTCCTGCCCCGCCCCTCTCCCTCCCTCTGGTTGGAAGAAACCCGCGCTTTCCAAGCCTTGGCTCGCGGTGCCCGGTGGGAAAGAGAGTTCCGGCGTCGCCGCGGTGCTTTGTGGGGCGGGTAGTTCCGTTTCCTGTGGCGCTCTCGGGGAGGGCAGGCTGCTGTGGCGTCGGCGCCCGGAGAAGGAGCTGCAGCCGCCGCCTTCTTGGACTCGCAATCGGGAGGCCTTGTGGGATCTGTAGTCCCGCCGCCTCGGGCCCGCCGGGGGAAGGAGGAGGAGGCGGAGGAGGAGGCAGGCACACCGCGCAGACCATGCCCGGGTTCACGTGCTGCGTGCCAGGCTGCTACAACAACTCGCACCGGGACAAGGCGCTCCACTTCTACACCTTCCCGAAGGACGCCGAGCTGCGCCGCCTGTGGCTGAAGAACGTCTCCCGCGCCGGCGTCAGCGGCTGCTTCAGCACTTTCCAGCCCACCACGGGCCACCGCGTCTGCTCCGAGCACTTCCCCGGCGGGCGCAAGTCCTACCTGGTGCGCGTCCCCACCATCTTCCCCTTGAGGGGGGTCAACGAGCGCAAAGGGCCCCGCGGAGCCCGAGGGGCCCGCGGGGCCCGCGGGGCCAGGAGACCCCGGCACGCCCCCGCCGCCCAAGCCGCTGCCCAGGCGGCCGCTCAAGTCGCCGCTCAAGCCGCCGCCGCCGCGCAAGCCGCGATGCTGCTGACTTTGCAAGAGGGGGCGGCCGCCCAGCCTGGCCAGAGCCTCCTCAGGGCAGCAGCAGCAGCAGCAGGAGGAGGAGGTGGTAGTGGGGGCCCCGTCGGTCTCCCCGGGGAGGATGTCAAGCCTATGGACCTGACGGTGCAGGTGGAGCTCGGGGGTCCCGGGGCCCTCATGGGGGCCCCGGTCCACCTGGCGTTCCTAGCTGACAACGGGCCACTGGTGGACGGCCCTCCGGATCATTCCTACTCGCTGTCTTCGGGCACCACGTCCGAGGAGCTGCTGCGCAAGCTGAACGAGCAGCGGGACATCATCGCCCTGCTGGAAGTCAAGATGAAGGAGATGAAGGGCAGCATCCGGCGACTCCGCCTGGCTGAATCCCAGCTGCGGGAGGAGATCAGGGAGAAGGACCGCTTGCTCCATGCCGCCAGCATGGCTGGGGGGGCCCGCAAGCGCCACGGCCTCTGAGGCACCACGGCCTGCCGGGTCCCAAATATGCCTGGACATGGGGGTCTTAACGGGGAGTGGAGGGGGGGGGATGTTGCATCAAAAAGACTTGCAGGGTGGGGAAAGCGGTTGTCAAGACAAAGCTCCAGGCAGCTGCCCGAATGACATGTTAGGCAGCTCTGCCCTGCCATGGGGGAGTGACCAGTTTTGAGCCCCTGGTTCTCTGCTTCCAAAGCCCACCGGATTTAATTCACGGGACCTCAACGCGTGTCCTTAACATTTATCCCACCTAGAGATTCTTGCTGCGATACTTTTCAAAAGATGGCCTGGAATTCTGGTCACTGGCTTATACTCCTCGCATTAAACACTGGTCTGAGCGTAGTGGCAAGTCGGTGTAGCTGCTGTGGTACTCTGGATGATGCTGACTCGGTTGGAACGAATCCCTTTTTAGCATTGCCCTCATGAAGCTAGACTGTTAGCGTCTGCCACCAGATCCCATGTTGTACAAAGCTAATTTGGGGGAAAGAAACAGTTACTTTCTAGACAGGCACACCTGGGTTGTAATCGTTCATACTGGAGTAAGTGAAGATGGCCAGGGTGCACTGTGTCACAGCGCTGTACCAGGATTATTCTGCGGGAAATGTCATTAAAAAATCACAGCCATCAGTGCATTTATCTTTCCTTTTTATGAAAGGGAGTTGTAGGCATTTCTTCTCCCCCTGCCGCCCAGAACCTTTTGATGCAGCGTGTGCCATTTTTATTGTCAAAACGAATCCTTAATATTTAAACGAGGATATCAGGAGGATGTTTGTTATCTCCATATTGCCGTTGGGAGTTACTGTTTTGGTTCTATTCCTCTTTCAGCTGACAAAGTTATTGCAGCTTTCCTGTCATTTCATGAATCCATGTCCTTCTGGCCATGCTTGTTTCAGTTTTCAACAAATATATTTTTCCTTTGGAAAACCTGTGAGGACAGTAGCCTTCCTTTATATTTTTCTGGGGTGTAGTCTCCTTAGCATAAGAGCAATGAGGTTAACCTCCCAAAATTATGCATACTTTCTTACTTCTGAATCCACCATATTTCCTCAAATCTTGAAAAAAAATTCCACGCATACATTGAAAACTGAGCTTGAGAGGAATGGGTGCAGAGTTCAAGTCCTAAGCAGTTTTTTCACCTTGACATTCTCCAGATGCATTGAAACTACAACTTTTATAATCTTTAATCATAACATCAGGTAGCTTACTAGTGGCTTGGTTGTAGTGTGATACAACTTTATTTGGGGAAGTCAGTGGTTACCTTATATTTCTGTAAAACTGTTGCCATTTGTCTTAAAAGATATGTGAGGAAGCAGAAGGACTTAACTTTTGCCAAGAAATGATATTAATTTTTTTTGCATCCATCCACCTATGGTAGATACGTAATGCCTCTCTTTGGAATATATTTCAAATACGTACCATAATACATTGTTTTCTCAGCTCTTTAGGAGATACCAAACTTTTGGTTAAATTGAAAGGAAGGAAACATTAAAACATAAGGTGAGGGTATTTTTTTTCTAAGTTGTGACTTTTTTGAGTCATCTTATTAATAAGCGCATTGACTTTTGCATTTCCAGGCTTAAATGTTTCTTTTGTTGGAGCTGTTGTGACTTGATGACACTGATGAGGAACAGAATGGCCAGCTGTCCAATTTTTTTTTAAAAAAATTGGTTACAGTATTTTTTTTTTCAGCGTCAATATGAATAGGAACCACAGTGGTATATATTGGTTATATATGTTGTACTCATCCACAATTAAAGTTAATTTTTAAAGCTTGAAAACATACTATGATGAAAGTATATGTTCAACGTGATTATTCTTTCCCCCTATTATACTACGTCATAAGATTCACCCAGTTCTTTTGTTCTTCTGCAGTTGGTATAAATGACTGTGTAGGATATGACAGTAGAAATTAGGATTTACATTCAATGGGTTGTACGAACTCTCAGCTGTAGTCATTGAGAACTCTTATCCAGTCCTTTTGAGTAGAGGTTCCAAGAACAATGTCCATTTTGTGCTATTATTTTGGATTTAACACCAAATCTAGCAGATTTCAGTGCTGCCCTATATTTCTGATACAGAATACCTTTGCTATTGAGTGTTGCATTTAGGTCAGGTTTGGGCACACCCCTTTATGTTTTGCTCATATTAATCTTTTAGGATCTTGGGCAATACATTGGTTTTCTCTCTTTCTCTGTAAATAAATGCCTGTGCATTCTAGCTGGCTGAGAGTGTTTTGAAGGTGTGTGTTGTGACCAATGTGGTACTTTTCTACCATCATTATGCACTAAAACATGTTCAGTTGATTGGACTGCTGAACTGGTTATCCTATGTTGGACTGTTCTATTTTCCTGGTTATCCTGAGGTGCTAACAAATATGCTTCATTTGAATAAAATCTATTTTGTTTTGTTACGTTGTAGTGTACAGTTTCTCCACGGAGCCTAGAAAATGTTATCCCAGTTTCTTTTCCATGACAATCTCATGCATATATAATGAAGACAGTTTAACATATTTTTTAAATTTTAATTTGACTTTGCAACGGTAAAGTTATTGTCCCTTTTTTTTACCCATAGTAGTCTGCCAGTTCAATATATAAAGTCTGCCTTCAGACAATACATTAAGGCACAAATCACATTTTAGAAAATGCAACTGCTAAATCAAAACTAAGGAAAACTGCCTTTTAAAGCATGATGTAGTTTGTTTTGGCTAGATTTGTAAATACAGTTGTTGTGGTTAAAAGCAATTTAGTTTGTTTTCCCCTTTAATGTAAATTAAGAAAGCAATGCATTTCACCTGCAAATAGATATGTATTTGGATGACATATTAGGAAGAATTCTATTTTTATATTTAAAAAGTAGAGGGTCAACTCTTGTTTAATTCAGCAATCGAAGAGACATAGGACCATGCATAAGAATGTATTATCTCTACTTTGTATGTACTACCTCTTCCCACATTCCTTTTTGAAACTGTAACCCCTGCAATTTGCAATGTTTCAACACCAGCCTTTTCCTATTATTTTTTTACATCATCTAGCATGCTCATCTTAATGATACATTAGAATTACAGTCACTAGAATTCTTTTGCCAGCATGGCAAACAGCATATAAAGAATTCTTGAGCACAACAGGCTAACTAAGGTTCAGCTTCTAACTGATGAAAAGTTCTGAAGAATACAAAAGTGTCTACTGTGATTTTCTGAAGCTTTAGTAGGATAGTTCAATAAAGATCCCATGGAGATTGTTCACATTCTATACTTACTCATTTAACAGACCCTGCTTTTTGTCAATTGTAATTTTTCAGGTTTGCAAAGCCTACTAATCACAGAGTTGTTAAAGAAGGTGATACTGGGTGACAAGATAATCTTTTGAACCAGATCAGTTTTGTTCCATCCTTTTCCAGGGCAGAAATATTCACAGCTTTGATGGCCTTCTAAGAACTTTTGTTCAGAATACAGGGATACAATACAAGCAGTCCTCAATTTACAGCAATTTTAGTAACCATTCAAAGTTACAACGGCCCTGAAAAAAAGGGACATGACCGTTTTTCACACAAACGTGATTCAAATTCAGATGCTTTGTAACTGGCTCATATGTATGATGGTTGCAATGTCCTGAGGTCATGTGATCCCCTTTTATGACTTTCTGACAAGCAATGTCGATGGGGAAGCCAGATTCATTTCATCACCGAGTTACTAAACTTAACAGAGGCAAGGTAGGTTGTAAAATGGGGCAAACCTCACTTAACAAATGCCTCTTCCTCACCCACAGAAATGTTGGGTTCAGTTGTGGTTGTAAGTAGAGGAGTACCTGTACATTGGAGTCAATTAAGCAAATAGCTTGCACATTGTGTTTGCAATCACAGGAAGCAAATACCCTTTCCCCAGATATTTTCTACTGCCTTTGACTTAGAATAACTTTGTCACTTTGAATGTACACTAATCGGTGTATATTAAAATGAAATTTCGTGGCCGACAGCTCTCAAAGGGACTCCACCTCCAATATACACTGCATAATAAACACGGCAAAATAAATAAATACAAAATTATGCATATACCCCCTTATATGACACGGGGAAACAACACAAGTCTAGTTCGGATGTATACATGTACATGGCGAGAAAAACGAATCTTGCAAGTTTACCAGATGGATGGCATCCAGGGGTCTCCAACCTTGGCAACTTTAAGACGTGTGGACTTCAACTCCCAGAATTCCTCAGCCAGCAAAGCTCTTAAAGTTGCCAAGGTTGGAGACCCCTGGTAGATGGAACAAAGCTGTTGCAGAATCTGGTACCGCTTTGGTCCTTTCTAACGGGACATTCTAAGCCGGGACATTCTAACCCGGGACATTCTAACCCGGACCTACTCCGAGCCAAGGCTCGCCCCCTTCTTAATCAATTGGGCTCCCCCTGTCTAAACCAGGCCGCCCCCAAACCACCACCACCCCCCGCCCCTCCCATCCCTCCTTCGCCCTTTGGAACTCCCTCCCTAAGCTCCCCTTCGGGTCGGGCGCCCTCCTCGCGCAGTGCTTGCCGGGAGCTGTAGTGCCCGCCTTTCGTCAGCGGAAGGCTGAGCGGCGAAGAAACTCGCCTTCCCAGCAGTCCGGGCGAAGGGCTCATCCGCGCGCCCGCCAGGCAGCCGAGAGGGGGCGTGGCCGGAAGAGGCGGTGCCCGGCGGGCGAAGCGGCGAGCGAGGGAGGGAGAGAGAGAGAGAGAGAGAGAGAGACAGTGAGGCTGCGCTCGGGGGGCTTCGGGCTGCGCTCGCCGCCGCCGCCGCCGCCATCGCCATCAGCCTGGTAAGTCAGCCCTCAGCGCCTGAGGCGCGGGAAAGGAAGGCCCAGCGGCGGAGGAAGGGACCTGCTTTGCAGAGGCTGAGGCCGCGGGCCTTCGCTTGGGCGCTGCCCCCCTTAGGATAGGGAAGGGCCAAGGGAAGGGCGTGTGGGGGCTCCGCAGCCCTTCAGCCCCTCCCCGCCTCGGGAAAAGGAGCCGGGCGGCTTCTCCCTCAGCCGGGAGGGGAAGGGGAGTGAAAAACTCCTCCTCCTTACCCCGCCCTTCCCGCTTAAACCCTGGAGGGCCCACCCCCGCCCACCCCTTCCCCGCGTGTTCGGAAACGCACGTGTGAACGGGCAAGTTGGCGCGCTCACCCTGGTCTCGGGTGGCCACGTGCTTTTGGGGGAGGGGGGGTTGCTTCCAGGCGCGCGATTTGAAAGTTCCTGGGCTTGGGTGGGAAAAAAATGCCCCCCCCCTTTTTTCTTTTTTTTACTTCCTCCTCTTCCTCTTTTATTTGGCTGCTTTGGAGAATAAGGGATGGAGCGATGGGACGAAGTGGAAAGCCGCACCCCTCCCAAGTCCTCGGCCCCGTCCCCTTAGAAAATTATATATGTATGTATGCATGTATGTGTGTGCTTAGATAGATAGATAGATAGATAGATAGATAGATAGATAGATAGATAGATAGATAGATATACCATATATATATGGTATTCAGCTTTGTTCGGGTATTTTCCCACGTCATTGTAGTTGTGCTTTTAAAGTTGTAGCAACGTTTCAGCAGAATCTCATCTGCCATCATCAGGCTTCTGTATTGTGTCTACTGTATTCTGTATTGTGCCTGATTCACAGACGAACACACTACAGAAGCCTGATGATGGCAGATGAGATTC